CTGTCTCTACTAAAAACAGGAAAAAAAAAAAAATACTAACTGAACATTGTCACAGGTGCCTATAGTTGCAGCTACTCAGGAATCTGAGGAAAAAGGATCGCTGGAGTCCAAAAGATTGAGGTTGCTGTGAGCTATGACACCACGGCACTCTACCCAGGGTGACAGAGTGACATTCTCTCTCTCAAAAAAAAATTTCAATCTAGTGATCACACTTCTTGGTATTTACACAAAAGAAATGAAAACCAGGTAAGTACAAAACCTGCTATAACCACAGGTGTTTACAGCAGCTTTATTCATAATTGTCTAAACTTGTGAACAGTCAAGATATCCTGCAGGTGAAAGACAAACTGAGGTGACACCTCAGACAGTGGAATCTTATTCAGCACTAGTAAGAAATGCTAGCAAGCTATGAAAAGATATGGAGAACTTTACATGTGCATTAGTAAGGGAAAAGAAACCAATCTGAAAAGGGCACCCATTATATCATTTGAACCATGCAGACAGCAAAAATACTCTGTATGATATCGTAACGGTTGATACATGTCATTATAAATTTGTCCAAACCCATAGAATATAAAGCACCCAGAGTGAACCCTAACGTAAACTATGAACAATGGGTGATAACAATGTGTCAGTGTGGTCTCATCAATTGTAACAATCGGATCACTCCAGTGGGGATTGGAGGTATCGATAATCTGCTCAGGTGTGGAGCAAGGTTACATGGGATGTCTCTGTACCTGCCTCTCAGCTTCACTGTGAACTTTAAACTGCTCTAACAAATAAAGCCTTTAAAAAAAAATGTAAACTACTTCATTACTGTCCATATTCACTGCATGGAAAAATCATAATATTTCAGATATGATGAGATCGATGAAATACATTTTTTAAATTAACTTCACATTTTTTTTACATTTTTCTGCCCGATTTGGCTCACATTAGGGGCTTGCACTATACTTCTTCCATTGGACAGAGCTGAGCTAAGCCACCAAAAATCCGAGACACACCTCTGGGTTCCTAAACAGTATCAAAATGTGAACAGAAGGGGGCACACAACTAAAATCCTAGAACTCTGGGAGGCTGAGGCAGGCAGAATGCTTGCGCTCACAAGTTCCAGACCAGCCTGAACAAGAGTGAGACCCCATCTCTAAAAACTAGCCAGGCATTGCGGTGGGCACCTGTAATCCCCGATACTCAGGAGGGTGAGGCAAGAGGATCGCTGGAGTCCAAGAATTTGAGGTTGCTGCAAGCTGTGATGCCATAGAACTCTACTGAGGGTGACAAAGTAAGACTCTGTCTCAAAACAACAACAGCAACAACAACAAAAAAAAAACATAAAAATGTGAAGAGAAGACTAAGAGAAGGGTAAATGGTCCCAGGACATTCTGAGGACATGTGTTAAGTACAACAGCAGCAGCAGCAGCAGCCAATACATTGCTGTAAGTGAGAAATAAGCACAAACAAGGACAATTCTGGCCTCCCACAGCCTACCTGCATGTGCCCTGAAGACTCCCTTCTGGCGGGTCGGCACCTGTGGCTCAAGTGGCTAAGGCACCAGCCACGTATACCTAAGGTGGTGGGTTCGAATCTAGCCCAGGCCCTCCAAACAATGACAGCTTCAACTAAAAAAAAAAAAATAAAAAATAGCCGGGCGTTGTGGCAGGCACCTGTGGTCCCAGCTACTTGGGAGGCTGAGGCAGGAGACTCGCTTGAGCCCAGGAGTTGTAGGTTGCTGTGAGCCGTGATGCCACGGCATTCTACCCAGGGTGACAGCTTGAGGCTCTGTCTCAAAAAAAAAAAAAAAAAGACTCCCTTCTGGCTGCGGCACACTCTCCTGCCTACCTTTGACGAGCTCTGGCCTGTATGCCTTGCGAAGCTGCTCCAGGAAGTTGTTGTAGAAGCCCTCTGCCTGCTCCGTGGGCATTGCCAGGTGGAAGTCGGGTTTGTGCCCCTTGAGCACACACTGCAGGGTGAACTGACTGACACACAGTACCTCGTACTGCTTGTCCATCACACTCTTCGACCAGTGCTTCCCACTCTCATCCTCAAACACACGCAGGTTCAAAATCTTTCGGACCCTAAGGGAAAAAGAGCAGTGAAAGGCCCCTGAGTGATCACAAGATCCCCAACACACTCTATACCTCCAAAATGTCACCAGCATCTAAGGACATGATGACTCCATCACTTCCCGGAGGCAGGACCTCAGGCAAGTTACTCATCCACTCTCTGCTTTAGCTTCCTCAAGTGCAGGACACAGTAACTACAGTCCTACCTCATAGGGCTGTTCCAGGATTTCCTTCTTTTACCCAGTCCCTGCAGTTCATAGCAGCTACTGGTGGCCACTATGGCTCACATGACAACCACCCATTCTCTGCTCCTTCAGGTTGGGATATATGTCAAAACATGGGTTCGATTTTAATTTTTCATAGAAGAATGCAAGCTTCACATTGGGATAAATGACACCCCCATTTGTGCACCTCTTCTTGGAGCTACTCAGCGTGAACAATTCAGCAAATACTCTGAGAAAAAACTTCTGGTTATTGCCAATTTTAAAAAATATCTAGAAAAAGATACCTTGACAACTATATCACGTGTTCCTTTGCCTACGCGTCTGGATCGCAATGGCCACCAGGGAATGAAATGCAGCAGGTAACATCTACAGGCTCAGATTTGAGAAGAATGGGAAGGAACTGCCAGCATGAAAGCTGAAATTCCACCACTTGAGAGTCACCCTTTCAGATGATGTTGAAGACAAACTTTCAAAGACTCTAAAAACAATAACTCACTGACTCTCTACGTGGGTCTCCTCAAGGTGGATACTATTCATTACCCCTCTCCAAAGCCAATGGTCTCACGTTGAGTTGTATCTCTTTTTTTTTGGCCGGGGCTG